GTCCCGGGTTTGATTCCGGTCAGGGGCATGTACTTTGGTTGCTGGCACATCCCCAGTGGGGGGTGTGCAGGAGGCAGCTGATCGATGTTTCTAGCTTTCTATCCCCCTTTCTTCCTCTCTGTAAAAAATCAATAAAATGTATTAAAAAAAAAAAAAGAAGAAGAAGAAGAAGAAGAAGCAGTAGCCCCTGCCTCATGTCTCCCCACTCGTATTCCACTTACTACTGGTTTCAGCGTTCTTCCTGTGATTTATGTCCATCTTTTTATTTATTTTTATTTTTTTCTTAAATATATTTTATTGATAGGGAGGAAGGGAGAGAGAGAGAGAGCTAGAAACATCCATGAGAGAGGAAGGGAAAGAGAGAGAGCTAGAAACATCCATGAGAGAGTCATGGATCAGCTGCCTCTGGCACACCCCCAATGTACATGCCCTTGACCGGAATCGAACCTGGGACCTTTCCGTCCGCAGACTGTATGTCCATCTTATAAACACTATCTCTGACCTTTGTTTTCATTATCTACTGCCTTTCCACTAAAAGGGGTGAGGAGTCAGCTCACTCATACTTTCTCCAACTCCAGTTTCTACCAAGGCGGAGTTTGATAATTACCAGCTGAATCAGTGCATCTGTATTATGACTGTTAACATCACCCACAGCTGAGATGAGTGAGGTGCCTAGGAAACTATGTTGGCTCTTCTTTTCTGTGTGGCTCTTTTTCTGGAGTTTTCCTCATAATCTCTGCCAGCTTCTTAATTCAGTGTTGTTGTTTTTTCAAATTTTATTGATTTTTTACAGAGAGGAAGGGAGAGGGACAGAGAGTTAGAAACATTGATGGGAGAGAAACATCAATCAGCTGCCCTCTGCACACCTCCCACCACAACCAAGGCACATGCCCCTGACTGGAACTGAACCCGGGACCTCTCAGTCCACAGGCTGAAGGTTTGGCTCGATGGTCTATCCACTGAGCCAAATCAGTTAGGGCCTTAATTCAGTTATTTATGTGGTTAATCCCACTAAAGAATCTATAATTTTCAGTATTTTTTCTGAAGCTGTTGTGTGTGTGTTCCCCCTTGTCATAGTGGGATTTCTCCTCATTATCCATTTAAAATCGCACCTTCTTGCGGCCAGGCCCGGAGCAGCGGCTGCCAGGCTGGGAGCGGCCAGGCCCGGGGGAGCAGGCGGGGCTGGTGCGGCCAGGCCCGGAGCAGCGGCTGCCAGGCTGGGAGCGGCCAGGCCCGGGGGAGCAGGCGGGGCTGGTGCGGCCAGGCCCGGAGCAGCCGCTGCCAGGCTGGGAGCGGCCAGGCCCGGGGGAGCAGGCGGGTCGGGTGCGGCCAGGCCCGGAGCAGCCGCTGCCAGGCTGGGAGCGGCCAGGCCCGGGGGAGCAGGCGGGTCGGGTGCGGCCAGGCCCGGAGCAGCAGCAGCCAAGTCCAGAGCAACTAGGTTGGGAGCGGCAGTGACCAGACCCGGAGCAGCTGGTTGTGGAATGAACCAGAGCAACAGAGGCCAGGCCCTGAGCAGCCAGGCCCAGAACAGCTCGCTCCTTGCCTGCCCCTGCCCCACGGCTGCTTCTCAGACATGGCTGGAAACTTTCGTGGGAACTTGAGTGTCTGCTGAATCAAGTGATGAAGGCTTAGATCTGGATGTGTTGAGTTAGTTTAGGACTGGGGTGTTGATCTGTGAGTGCCTTGGTGGGGCCTGGATGAGGCTGGTTAACCTAGTGGGAAATGTCTTTTGTGTGAAGTGTATCATTGGGCATGTGGAGGTATTATTGATATGAGAAAATGCTAAGTAACTGATTTACTATCTGAAAAGGGATTTACTATTGGGGAAATTGAGGGAAGAAGAGACTGAACATAAACTGCACCTATGGATGAGGACAATGGGGGATGGGGGGGGGACGGAGGGTGGGGTGGGAACCTGGTGGAGGGGGGAAGAAATGAGGAACCTTTGTAATAATATGAACAATAAAGATTGCTTAAAAAAAAAAAAAAAAAAAATAAAATCGCACCTTCTCAAAAACAAAAAAAATAAAATAAAATTGCACCTTCTCTCTGAGCACTCTTGAGGCCTCCATACCTAATTTTCTTTCTCTCCCACAGCATTTATTATCTCTAACACCACATAAGACATGTTTGTTATGCTTGCTGTCTCCGCCCCCACCCCAGCCACAAGTCAGTGGTATCAGAGTTCCCGTAGGGCAGAGATTTTTGTTGTCTCAGCAATGAATTGACAATGTTCTATGCCAGTACAGTGCTGGCATAGTGAGAACACTCACTGTGTATTTGTGGAATGGACGAATTCCCAGACTCCCCTGCATCCCCTTCCTGCCTGTTCTCTTTCTTCCTACTTCCTGGATCTCATGCCTTCTTTCTTCCTTTTTAAAAAAATACATTTTATTGATTTTTTTTTATAGAGAGGGAGAGGGAGAGAAATAGCAATCAGCTGCCTCCTGCACACCCCCTACTGGGGATGTGCCCACAACCAAGGTACATGCCCTTGACCAGAATTGAACCTGGGACCCTTAAGTCTGCAGGCCAATGCTCTATCCATTGAGCCAAACCAGTTAGGGCTCATGCCTTTTTTTCTTGGTTTAGTGGAGCACATTCCTGTCACTTTCTTTTTTTTTTATTTAATATATTTTATTGATTTTTTACAGAGAGGAAGAGAGGGGGATAGAGAGTTGGAAACATTGATGAGAGAGAATCATCGATCAGCTGCCTCTTGCACACCCCCTACTGGAGATGTGCCTGCAACCAAGGTACATGCCTTTGACCGGAATCGAACCTGGGCAAAAAAAAAAAAAAATTGAACCTTTCAGTCCACAGACCGACACTCTACCACTGAGCCAAACCGGTTTCGGCCCTCAGTCACTTTCTGTGAAAAGATGCTTATGAGATTATATATATAAGACTCTATAGTATATATTTACACTCACATTCAGTGCACACTCTGGAAGATTTCTTCACATGCAAGATAGTAATGATTATTGAGTATCTCATAAGGTTGTGATGAGAATTAAGGTAAATCATAAGATGGTTAATATTCTCTAATGGTTACCATTAGTGGAGGACTAAAATAAATATAAAACAAGCTTTGTTGGGAGGCAGTTGAGTACAGTGGCCGAGGTCAGGGTGTCATGGTCGATCAGGGCAAGTTTTGAGTCCTGAGCTCTGTGACCTAGGAACTGTAACAAGGTAGGAAAGTCACTGAAGCCTCAGCTTCTTCATGTAAAAAATGGAAATGGCCAGAGAACCTACGTTTTGTTGTTGTTGTTAATCCTTGCTTGAGGATGTCTTTTCCATTGATTTTTAGAGTGGAAAGGAGAGAGAGACACATAGATTGGTTGCCTCCCGAATGTGCTGGGCTTGGGGGTCTGGAATCAAACCTGCAACCCAGGCATGTGCCCCCTTGACCAGGAATCAAACCCAAGACCTTTTGGTGCCCCAGCCAACACTCTAACCACTGAGTGACACCAGCGAGTGCCTGCTCTTAACACACAGTAGGGGTTATTGATTAGGTTAATGTGCCTAAGGTTCCCAAATGTTTGGTGTGGCTTGGTACCGTGGCAAGAGCTGGCATCTACCTTGAGCTTGCCTTTGTGCCAGCTGAGGGTTAGACTGTCTGGAGGAGGGTCGGCAATGGGCAGTTGGCAGCATGCATCAAGTCCTGAGAGAACGCCTGCATTTGACCCAGCGGTTCCATCTGCTAATAATTCACGTTAGGGAAATAAGTATGGGTGTGCCTGGATTTAAGTAGGGTCTTGTTCATGGGGCAGGAGGCCGGGACCCACTTCGGTGTAAGTTAGGAGGGAGCTTCATCAGTATGGATCTATCAGCTGTACACTTCCTCCAATAGTCCTCCTGGACAGTGCATGGTTAAGTGAAAAAGGTGAGTATCAAAGCAGCAGGAGCCCTTCTGGGGAACAGAGGTTCCACTTCCCTTTATATTGTTTCTAAAGATCAGTCCATGTGCCGAGGACTGGAAGTCTGGACAGTCAAACACAGGTTTATAGCCTAATGGTCCAAGGACAGCCTGGCACTATGTATGGGTGTGCCTGGCATGGTCTGGCACTACCAGACCTAGGGCAAGTTACAGAATCGTGTGCTATGCCTCAGCCCCCTCACCTGGAAAATTGGGCAATAATAGCTGGATGTTTGTTTCCAGTAAATGAGATCAGACATGAAAATTCCTTACTAAGAATAAGTGTTAGCGGGGCTATTACTGCTACCCAACAATTAAGTCTGCCAGAGTGAATTAAGGGTTCGGTGATTTCATTGTTGCTTCTGTATTGCCTAAAGTGTTATGTTAAAAAAATAAACACATATGTCTTTTGGAAATAGAAAAAAAAGTTATTTTAAAACATGCAGACCTTCAGGTACTGAGATGATCCTACTTTTGTTTAAAACATCCTCCTCTTGCTGTGGTCAGTGGTTGAGCATTGACCTATGAACCAGGAGGTCACGGATCTTACCAGGATGTCTCTATTTCTCGATACCTCTCCCTTCCTCTCTGAAATCAATAATAATAATAAAAAACCTTATTTTTTAAAAATCACCATCACACAACAATGTGAATGTACTTTATGACACAAAGTGTACACTAAAATGGCTAATGTGGTCAATTTTATGTCTATTTTACCACAATTTAAAAAAGCAACATTAACATCATCATCAACAATAACAACTTCCAAAAAATTATCATCATCATCATCATCATCAACTACAAAGAAAATTATAAGCAAAGAAGTTCTGAGCGTGCTCCTGGGGCCATCAGCGGAGATGAGATGGGACTGTTCTTTGCCGTGTAAATATGACTCGATGGCCCCAATATCCGACCGGGAACAGCTCTCGGTTTTGTAACCGCTCAGGTTTCCTCTCGGGTTCACCCGGAGCCGGGCTTCCGAGCCTGAGCGCGGGCGGGAGCCCAGCCTCGCCTCCGGTCCGGGCGTGACCTTGGCGGCCCGGCCCCTGCGAGCCCCATCTCCCCAGTCCCGGAGCCCGAGATGACAGCTCGCCCCCCGCACCGCCCCGCGCCGCCCGGCGGCCCCGGGATTGGCTCCCACCCGGACCCGCCTCCGCCTCCCACTACAGGGTCGCGCGGCGCCTGCCCGCTGGGCCCCAACCCGGAAGTGCGGCTCGCGGGCAGCGGCGTGACGACGGCGAGCGCGGCCAATGAGCGCGGGCGGCGGCCTTGGCTTGAAGGAAGTCCCGCCCAGCGCCGTGCGGGGGCGGGGCGGCGAGCGACGGGGCGGGCGCAGGGTGAGGGCGGCCATTGCTGGAGCTCCGCTGCGGAGAGGAGGACGCTGAGGAGGCGCAGAGGCGCGCGGGGCTGCGGAGAGGAGCCCGAGCCGCCGCGGGGCCCATGGCCAGGACCACCAGCCAGCTGGTGAGTGCGCTCGCGGCGGCCGGGGCCACCGGCCCGTCACCGCCCCGAGCGCGGCGGCCGCCTGGGCCCGACGGAGCTCGGCGGCCCAGGATTCCGAGGGCCGGGCGGCGTCTCACCTGGGGCCGGGCACCGGGGCGGAGGAGGGCCGCGGGCGCTGCGGGGACCCCGTCAGCCCCCGAGGGGAGCCCGGCGTCCGTGAGGTGGGCGCCGGTGCTGACAGGGGCGCGGAGGGCGGGGAAGCCGGGGAGGTGTCACCAGCCGGTCGGGGTGCAAGTGTTCGGAAAGTTTGTTTTCGGCGCGGCCTAGAGCCGAGCCTTCGGGGTTACTTTTCCTTCTGTGCGCGGAGGAGCCGCCAGGGCCTTCACCGCAAAGAGGTCCCGGTGCTCTGCCCCAGCGGAAGCGGGAGGTGGGAGCTCCGTACTCAGAGCACCTGGTGATGCTCCGGGCCTTCCGAACTCCCGGTGAGCACGGAGGCCGAGGCCCCTTTCCCGGCCCCGCGGCTGCTTTTCCGGACCTGGGTCCGCGCTCCTGCGGAGCAGGCACCGGTGCGGGGGAAGCCCCTGGGCAGCTCGGCTTAACCCCACTGGCCAGGGAAAAGGGAGCATGGTAGGGCGGAGAGGTTTTGTGCGGAAAGAAAAACATTTGATAGGTTAAATGTTCTGCTAAAAGTATATCTAGCGTTTCTATGTTTTCTCTATGTTGCTAAAAGTATCCCTATATTTTTATGTTTATTTCTCTTGCTCTTGGGAAGACGGTTTAAGGTTTATACCTTGTGTGCGAATGCGGAGAATGTCTAGACAACTTGCCAAGTTTGGTTGAAAGGGCAGATCCCTTAAATGAAGGAAGATCTTGAAATGTGCTTGACCCTTATCGTTTGGGGGTGGCGGTCCTGAGCCCCTTTGAGGATCTGATGGAAGGTATGCGTCCTCTCCTGAGAAGAACGCACAGCTGCTTTGCATTTTGTAATGACTTCAGGAAGCTCTCGAACCTTCTGCAGCTCACCCGTGGCCTTCGCGTTAAGAGCACTGAGCTTTGTGGAGATGGGTGATAACCCAGGGTCCCAGAGGAGGAGAACCTGTTCTGTGGAAGAAAATGGTGAAAGGCCAAAGGGATGTCTTTGGTTATTGCCACAGGCGGCGCCTGGGTGAGCACACCCAAACACCATTTAGGAGGTTTGGTGAAGCTCAGCTAAGGCTGAGGCCGATGTTAATCCTGGATGTTTGTAAAAGAACCTTGCACACAGTGGTGCTGTTGCAGTGCAAGGTGTGTGCTTTGATGGTGTCCATTGGAGGCGAAGAGGGGCATTTTCTCATGGTCTGGGTAGTTCCACGGGATGGTATTTGACACGTGGTGTTTTCTTGGCATGAGGCAACTTTTTAGTGCAAAACGCTGGAATCCAGTGAGAAGAAATGAATTACAGAATAGAGACTAGACCTCCCATCAGGAAGTGAGAGGAACCAGGATTTTGTGTCTGCAGCTAGGTTCCTTCACATGTGGACTCTGCCACATATCCCATCAGTAATGGCAGAGACACCCCAAAATAGGGTTTTCTTTCTTTTTTCTTTTTTCTTTTTTTTCCCTACATGGGGACCGGTAGATTTGCATGGTTCAAATGCGTTTGCTGTCAAGTTTGGAATTTTAAGATGGCACTGTATGAGAATCCCCTGTCCAGTGATTTATTTTCCTATTTCTATAAGTGTGCTCAGCCAGCAGGGGGCAGTAGGAGTTGTGAAGTCTGAAATGGCCTGCCCAGCTGGATGGTGAGGTGGGCCCTGGGCGGTGGCCCCCTGAGTGAGCGCTTCCTCTCAGGCAGGCACTCGGCTGGATAGTTCACACTGTGCTGCTCAGCTTCTGTCAGCAGCTTCCAGGTAGGGGTCATTCCCATCCTACAGGTGTGGGCACGGGCGCAGGAAACGTTAAGAACCTGTGTGGTAAATAGAGTCTGTCTGAGTGATAGAGACCAGGTGCTGCCCTCCCCTCACGTGAGGGTCTGCTGGGCAGTTCAGTGCAGCACTCAGCATTCATGTAAGGAAGTGCTCCGTCCCCTGCCCAGAGGTCTTTCCCAGGGGGTTGTGCCCGAATGTCTTCACTGCACTGGAGGCTGGAGGAGGTGTTAACTGGAGGGAAGGTGTTACCTGGAGGCAAGCACACTATTGCTTTGGGCAGAAGCTGAACTCTGTGACCCCCGGAGCCTGTTGCAGCCTCACACCGTCAGAAAGCAGCTGTTTGGAAAGAGGCTCTGGTTCATCCTCATTTGAGAGCTGGTGTTCTGAATGGTGAGGCTTGGAATCCTCCCTTTGGCAAAAAGAACTGCATGTGCAGCGATTTTGTTGAATGAAGACGTGGTCATAGCAGAGTGGCTCCCTGCAGCTGTAGGGGGCGGTGTGTGTGCAGAGGTGGCTGTATCTGTGTGGGCCGGTGGTGGGGAAAACAGAACATGGAAAGAAGTGGGTTCTGACTTTCATTCTCCCTTTTGGTAGGTGGCTCCTCCTCTAGTGTGATGTATTTCTCCCCATGACATCCCTACCGCAGTTACTGAGCTGAGTCCAGCGCTGGCGAGGTGAAGTCCCGTGCTAATGAGGTGGAAGTGTGGGTTTGTTCTACTGTTTGGACATGTGTTTCCTGAGAGGTGTCACAGCACATGCATGTAGAGATGTGGGCCTGGAAAGAGGCTTTGCTTTGGGCAGCTGGGGAAAGCAGGTGTGGCCTCTAGGCTGCCTGTAGCACAGCTTGGGGAGGAGGGAAAGGTTTCTCCTGGGTGTGTGTCCCTTGAATTTGTGCCCTTATCTCCTGAGACTCCTGATGGGAGGTTTGGGTTATGTAGGGCAAGTACATGATGACCTGGGAAGCACTGCATAGATTGGGGGCGGGGGGGAGAGGTCCATTCCTTCTGAGATGATGATGTGTGGAGAGCCTTCACTGGCACTTTACTGTGCCCTCTCCTAAGGGGTGCCTTTTGTGGAAACCGACTTTGACTAGAGTGAGGAGCTGATGCTGAGGACACTTGATGCAGAAATGACTCCCTCAGCAGGTGCAGGGGCTGGACTCACGTGTGCCAGCTCTGCCTGCCTGCCCTTGTGATGACAGCTGGCCGGAGGGTTGTGGAGCACAGTTGTTTTGAAGGCGGGTTCAAAGGGCAGATCACCAGGGAGGAAGTGCTGGTGTGGAAACTATAAGTTTTAGATAAGTATCATTTAGGACTTGACAGTAGTGTCTTCTTGTGTAACCAGATAGCGTTCTTTTTTTTTTTTTTTTTTTTTAATAAATTTTATTGATTTTCCACAGAGAGAGAGGGAGAGGGATAGAGAGCTAGAAATGTCAATGAGAGAGAAACATCGACCAGCTGCCTCCTGCACACCGCCTACCGGGGATGTGCCCGCAACCAATGTACATGCCCTTGACCGGAATCGAACCTGGGACCTTTCAGTCTGCAGACTGACGCTCTACCCACTGAGCCAAGCCGATTTGTTCATTGTGACACGAGGCCCTCAGAAAAAAATTGTTTGAATATTGAGAACTGGCTGTGTATCCACTAGCTGAGTCCACACAACAGGCAGAGTGTGTTTTCTCAGGAGAGTGGGGAATGTGTTCTGATGCTCCTGTCTGAGAGAAGAAAGGCCTGTTGGGTTCACGATGGTTCTTGGAGTCTGTTTACAGAGCTTGATGCTGTTTGCATTTATATAATTGCACAAGGTTTGTTTCTTTTTCCTCTATTTTTTTTTTATTACTTTAAAATCCTTATCCAAGGATATTTTCCCATTGATTATTAGAGAGAATGGAAGAGACAGGGAAAGCCCATCGATGTGAGAGAAACACCTTGATTGGTTGCCTTCTACACGTGCTCCAACCAGGGCCGGGGTCAGAGAGGAGACTGCAACCCAGGTACGTGTCCTTTACCAGAATCGAACCCGGGACCCTTTGGTCTGCAGGCTGACACTATCTGCTGAGCCAAACTCGGTAAGGCTTCCAGGTTGTTTCGACTGTGTAAGGGAGATAGTTCATTCCAAATGATTTAGGTTTGAGGGCGCCAAATGCCTTTTATCAGAGCAACTGAGTCAGGTTTCTGTTTAAATAGTTGGATCACCCACAGCCCTACAGAAGCAGGAGTGACAGCATTGCAAACTGTGTGTGAAAAAGATGGCCAGGTCTGACATTAGCAGCCCATGACCAGGCACATAGCCCACAGAAGGACAAGCAAGTGTGCTTTCCACCTGGAGTGTTTCTGAGGGGCCTGAGGAAGGGGACATAGTTTCTGATGGCCCAGTGACCTCCTCTATCCACAGACAAGATCGCAGGCCCTCTGTACTAGCCACTGGGCTTTATTTATTTTTTTGTTTTTTAATTATATTTTATTGATTTTTTTTTTACAGACGGGAAGGGAGAGAGACAGAGAGTTAGAAACATCGATCAGCTGCCTCCTGCACACCCTCTACTGGGGATGTGCCTGCAACCAAAGTATATGCCCTTGACCAGAATCGAACCTGGGATCTTTCAGTCCACAGGCTGATGCTCTATCCACTGAGCCAAACCGGTTTTGGCTGTTTTTTGTTTTTTTAAATATTTTTTTATTGATTTCAGAGAGAGTGAAAGAAACATCAATGATGAGAGGGAATCATTGATGGGCTGCCTCCTGCACGCCCCTTGCAAGGGATCAAGCTCACAACCCTGGGCATGTGCCCTTGGCCGGAATCAAACCTGTACCCTTCAGTCTGCCCTTTCCACTGAGCAAAACCGGCTAGGGCTGGGCTTGTGGGTATTGAGCCCATAACCTGGGCATGTGCCCCGACGGAAATCAAACCGTGATCTCCTGGTTCATAGATTGACATTCATCCTCTGGGCTGTAAATCAGCTTGCAGCCTTGGGAATAGTAATGTTGACAGGTCTGGTTTGAAGGAATGTCTGGGTGCTAAGAATTTCTTTCCGGTAGTCCTTGTCCTGTTTGTGGAGCTGGTGGCAAGCTGCCCACGTTGGAGAGGGCTGATGAGAGGTTGCCTCTGCATATTA